TGTAGCATGAAGCGACTAACAGTGTCAATACTCCTCCCATGGATGAGATGCTAGTCCATTGCTAGGCCACTGCGTCTCCCAAAATTATCTTGAAAGGAAGTATTTATTTGTAGTAAAAAAAAGAAAAATGGGGGGTGAAGGCAAGGTTTTTAGCCCGTCAGAGTTTAAAATGATTACTTTTAAATGCGTACCAGTTTGGTTTGTTGGTGACGTTGTGCTGGCATTAGCTGAGGCATCTGTAATGAAAGATATTGCTAAACGTTTGGTATTCGAGGCAGATTTCTCATAAGGCAAAGCAAAAACATTTCATGCAATGGGGTTATTGAGTAAGTTAGTCATCATCCATAAGTGCCAAAGGCATAGGCGACGAAATCGAAGATGATGAAGTGATCGTGGAACAAACATTAAAACCGCTGAGCTAAGTAAGTAGATAGAAGAAAATCCCAACCTTTCTTAACAAATCTTAAAATAAACTGATGACTGACCTTTTCATTACGTAAAAGAAAGTTAGAACAAGGATTTAAAACTATCGACTAGGCTACGAGCAGACTTTCGCACTACAGCTCGAGCGTTCGTTCGCCCGAATAAAAAAAAAAAAGCTACGAGAAAAGCGAGCGGGCGAGAGACCTAAAAGCGATCTGGCCTTGATAGTAAGGATCGCAGCGCCCGTGGGCAAGATGAAGCGAATCCTGTCTTCTGATTGGCTACCCGCTCGGGATTACCTGCATCGATCCCGCGCATGAAAAAAATTGAATTAGAACTACTTTCGTAATTCTTGTACAATGTCAGCGATGGAAACGCAAACAGCGACAGAAGATAGTCAAAACAAAAAAAACAGAAACGACTCTCGTGAGTTTGTAGTGCTACAAACACAGTTGGCTTTCTTTCCCGACTCTCGAGGTAAACAAGTTATTCCTAATTCTCAATGAAGCGAGATCTTTTTGCAATGTATTATATCCTTTCTTAAACACGCTTGTTCGGCCAAGATGGCTGGATATTAGCCTCGTTCTTTTTTCACATTTTTATGGACCTCGGTCCATAAAAATGCAAAAGAAGAACTCGGGACGTCTTGACCCCAAGTTTGGTCAATAACTCATGGGTCGTAAAGCCAGTTTTTTTCTGATTCCAACCTGTAGATAGGTTTCAATATTTTGACAACTTGATAGTTAAAACTGAGTGTCGAATCATAAGCCAATTAGAATTTGAGAAAAGTATAACAAACAGTAGGCAAACCTCAGGTGGAGAAGTTTCGTTCAGATATTACGCCGGAAAAATTTTCAATGTATCTTGTTAATATTCCCGATTTTGTGAATGCCCCTTCAGTTTAAAATCTGCAACTGGCAGATCAAGCCGTGTATCGATGGATAAATTATTTGAAATGTCAAATCGTGATGAAAGCCACAGATAAATATTGTTTGGGTTGTGCCAGATCCCATGCAGGCCTCTCACTGGGCAGCCTTACCCAATGCCTTAGACTTGCTCGCAAGCGGAGACACGCTCATGTCTGGGTAATTTTCTTAGATTAATAAGTTTTTTTGAGCACACTTCTTACTTGGCACACAGACGCTGCTTATACACAAACAAACCTGTTGTTTTATTTGAAGAAGCAATGGTGCAGTTGTAG